AAAAGCAAATCACTCAAATCCTCTTAAAAGCGTAACCGCAACTAAAACCCATCTCTTACTTAGCTTAAATCGGCATTCTTGTTGGAATTACTTAACTTTTAACCGTCACTATAGTAACACGTTATACTGGAATCATAAGAGGTAATTCCGGGTGTAACAATACTAAAAAAACCTTGAATTTATTATTATATAATATATACACGACAATTCAATATTAGAAATAGACAAACGATTTAATACGATTTAATTTAGACAGAAACATTACAATCTATATCTATCGCTTGAAAATTTTCACAAATGTCAAACGTCAAACGTCAAACAATAAAAACATAATTTTCCATAATACATAATAAAGCTACTTAAATATAGGCCACGAATGAATAAAGCAGAACCTATTTATTTAAAAAAAATAATAAACGACTTTTTATTGCGTCCTTAAATAATATTTAAAAAAAAACAAATCTGAACTTATTAATTTCAAGATCTCTGAAATATAAAACCACTTACCAAATGTTTTTTCATATCTAAATAAAGCTTCGAGTGCTGTGATCTATTTTAATTTAACATTTTATAAAGTTATTATATATTACCTTTAAGCTATTCTCTCAAACTAGTTACGTTTTTGAGTTAATTAGAACCTTTAACGCGTATACTTATTATACATTACTATTTTCCTAGCTTAAGAACCGTCTCTAAGTGAACTATACGTAGAGAGGGTGAATCCACAAGATACTTAAGGCTTCTTTTGCGAAGAGTCTTCTGTAATATTATAAACGACGGTTACATTTTAAAAAAAAAAAAATTTACTATGTTAAGGGGTAAAAGTACTCTAAACTGTATAAATTCAATTGTATAAAATTGACCATCACGAGAAAGTTATCCTATATACAAAAATTACTGCGCGCCTACTCAAGAATATAATCCGATAATTTATCAATATTTGATCAAAAAGTCCCGAAGCCCCATAACGGTACAGACCGACCCATATATGCAAAATTGCCTTCCCGAGGTAGGTTTAGACTACAGTTTTTTGTGTTTTTCGAGTTTTTTGTTTGCTTTGCTTCGCCAATGATCATCAAAATTCTATAATTTGATTGGCGGTTGATCCCGTGATTTATCTCCGCTTTAGACGAATATTCCGACTTTATACCTTCTTATCTTCGCTTGAAATAAGGGAACCCAATAACTAGAACTACCGCTACATTTTTTTACGTTTTTCCGAGCGTAAGTGTATAATTCTGTTTATACATCAGTCACGCACATCCCTACTGGCGTATGGCCATTATGTCCTGCGTTAGATGTTTGGAGACAGACTATAGGAGGTGTCCTTGGGCATGCGTGCCTCTGGCCATTCTTCTTTATGCTGTTTTCCAGGGTGTTGTGTATACCTACTAACGTACAGCCACTACGTCTTGCGTTAGATGTTTTGGAAACAGTCTATAGGTGGTTTCCTTGGGCATGCGTGTCTCTGGCAATTCTCCTTTATGCTGTTTCCAGTATACCGTTGACTTTTACATGCATCTTTTGTTGATTTGTGTATATATAATACTTACGTGCTTAAGTTACTCACGATATATCTATTTAATTGCAAGATGTTCGAATTGATCTTAAACGAATATTTTAACATTACGGAATACAGGAATTGGTCTGTTGTCAAGATACTAGAACATGTTGAATCAAAGTCTGATATATCTGATGATGTGTTCGAAATCCTTAAAGAAGAAATAAGATCAGTTACAAAAACAACTGCAACACTAATGAAAATGCAAAAAACAAAGCAGGAAAAATTTTATCAAGCTTTGACAAGTCTTTTTCTTCAACTGATGTGAAGCAATTCATCGATAGATTAAAGCTAAAAAGGGATCAAAGAGAATTTCACACAACAGTGTGTAGAAACGTTGCATCGGCAAGTACATTACAAGCACTAGAGGTGAGTTTAATGCAAGTCTGGGAATGATTAAAAGTAAAAATATTATAATAGTTTTAATGAGAATTTCATTAGGAATACGATGCAACAAGACAAGAGATAGAAATTAGACGTAATAGTGAATCTAGGGGTGAAGAAAATATTCAAAAGATGGTTAGTTAGTAATCTTTTATTGTTTTTATAAATAGTTGAATAATTTAATTTACGACACTTATTTTTTATATTATAGCCCATAAGTAATGTAACCATGAATTCTTCTATTATGACTTTTGTACCAGTGAATGATCTAATGGCGAATAATTCAGATGATCTAATGGCGAATAATTCGGTAGGTTTATTCTGATTACAGTATATTATATGCGATCTTCTAATAATTTTATGATGTTTTATAGATTAAAGACTTACTATGACTAAGTTCTGGAGATGACTTGGAATCAATCTATCAAAAAGTAATTCAACGTTTATCATCAAAAAACATTAGAGTCTCGTATGTCTGTTAATACGTAATATTATCTAATTATTTGATAATAATTAATATATTATCCGGCAGCTTATTATGATTTGTCTGTCAAATAAATTTATTATTCGGCAGAAACTATATAGTTGTCGAATAATAAAATTGTTATTGGGCAGACTATCGTCATAAGTTACCGGATAAATCCGTTATCAGTCAGGCAGTGCCTGCCTGATAACTATTAATTAAATACCTTTTTAATTTTTCAGATCTATTGAATCAAGAATTATTGACTTGACAACTTGGAAGTATACAGACTGGATACGAATTTTGAAAACTGAGGACAGAGATATATTGACATGCACTTTTCAAAAAACTTTATTAATAAGTTCAGTTGATAGTAATGTATTACACATTATAAATGACAGTAATCTAGTATTGGTAACTAATGATCATTATATTTAAAATTATATTATGATAAAAGTTAACTAATATCTATTTATGCTATAGAAAAATTTAACAACTTTAGCAGAATTACAGTCAAAGTTATCACAAATTATAGGCTCTGAAGATGCAATTTTAGCTTTTTCAATTTTAAATTTTTTGTAAGATTTTATATTAATTTTTTTCTTTTATTTTAAGAACAATGCCAAGTTAGTAGTTACTTATATATATATTTCTTTTCTAGCCATAAAAATTTTCAACAAGAAATTAATCACTTATCAATGCCTTTATGTAAAAGGAATTACACTTTATGAATACTACTTCCCTTGATGACTGATCTACTTGAGAAATTTGACAGTACATTTGAAATATATGGGTATGCTATTTTTTATTTATTTGTTGTTAAATATTTGCCTCATATTTTCTAATTTTATTGAATATTTAGAATTGAAAAAACTTCTAAATCAACAAATGCTCAAAAAAGATGAAAAATTCATCCTGAATATACTAGATTAGAAAATAATTTAACACAATTAGATATGATTGTAGAATTCTGAATTTTTTATATAAAAATTTTAGCATTAGAAGCTAAAAATACTGAAATAAAACATGATGATCTAAGTGCATTTAAAGATTATTCTACACTCAAAATAGAGTTGAAGGATATATTAGATAATTTTCATAATGTATTGCACTTTAAAAAAAAAGATTTTAAGGACTTATTTACAATTGGAATACAAGTAAACCATATGTAATATACAACTTTTTTTTAAGTTTCTTCTAGAGAAACTTTTTGCTTTAGTTATAATAAAATTTGTAGATCACTATTAAGTAATATATTCGATGATTTATCATTCAACCACAAATTTTTATTATTTTAATAGGATGGCAACATTGGTAATTCTAAAAACTCTCTCAAAAATGAGCTATCTTCTAGTAGATTTTATTAGAGGTTTATTTAGACTTTGCATATATATTTCTTTAATTATAAATATAATTGAGTTTTTCTATTTTTAAAAATAAATTTTTATATCTTAATATAGCATACTTTGTTATAGTTAAATAATAAATTAATCTAATTAGCAAAACAAAAATACTCAATACCATTATCAGCTTCTTTACCTCCTTAGAAATATTTGATTTACCTGAAGCTAAACAGATTAATGATATTTTCGCTATACTTAACAATTATATTAAAAATTTAAAGGTTATATTAGTGGAATTGGTGAATAATTACTACTAAAATCTTTGTATAATATCAATATCAATCTATTAGATCATATAAATCTAAAAAATACATTACTGTTATTCATTTTATAATAAAATATATAACTGATCACAGGTCAAATATATGCAATTCGACCTCCTATATTTTATAAAAATTCAAAGGAGAATTGGCATCTGATTTATAGTCAATAGTTAAAGATATAGTCGATAGTTAGAAAAATTATAATTGAAAAAAATTTTTTTGATGCAAAGTATACAAGTTTGCAAAAAATTTTTTCAAATAAAAGTATATAATAAATTAAATATTAATTTATATTTTTTTATTAAAAATATATAATTATATACAACTATTATAATACTATCATTTTTAAATAACTATACTAATACCAAGAAACTAAAATAATATGAAAAAAACCAAAATACTAAATAACTAGAGTGATATCAAAAAACCAGAACATCAAGAAACTAGACTAGTATCAAGAAACTAGAATGATATGAAAAACTAGAAACATCATCAAAAAAATATTAATAAAAAAAAAGGTAAACAGATTAGTAAAAGGAAAGAAAAAGTATATGCTTATATCAATCTGGTAAAGAAAAAATGAAAAAAAAGATTAAAAAAAAACAGAAGACAAAAAAATGATCGCAATATTATATGTTTCAGATTAACAATATGGTTGTAAAACAAACCCTGCATATTATTTTACATATTGTTAAATCCAGAGACTCTCAATTCTGCAAATCTACTGCACTGATATAATTTTCCCAATTATCGATCTAAAATCAGATGTCAATTCCTCTTCAAATTGCTATATAAATATCAGAAGCTGAATAATGAGCAGAAATTAGATAGATTTTTTTTATATAGAAGATTTTAGATTTTTTTTGGGTTAATTTTTTTTTATATAGACGATTTTGGATTTTTTTAGGCCAATATTTATTAATACTCAGCTAAGTTGATTTTTATATGTTCGACCAGTAAATATCTGATATTAATATTAACTACTCTGCAAACAAATAATGTAATAGTAGTTAAACCAGTATAAATCAAGAGGATAATTGTACAGTAACTTATAGTAATTTGTAAATTTGGACTACATATTACTAGTCAAGAAATTTTTAGAATAATGATTTAATTAATGGATTTGCATATATGAAATAGTATGATGATCTATTTATATTACACAATATATTATTATATTTATTTTTAAATCAATATTTATCGATATATATCTAAATATATATATTAATTTTTTCATCAATATGAGTGCTACTAAAAGAAAATCAGTTAATGAGGTTTTAAGTTTACTATTTACCAGACACAATCTATATAATTTGTTAAAGATTGTGTCTGATAAACATCTCTTGGCATCACTTATATTATATTGATATATAATATTATTTTGTTGCATAAAAAAAATCTACAAAAGGATTTATGCAATGACATAACATCTTTCAGATATATGAATATCTCAGTATATGGTCATTAAAAATGTAATGACCAAAAACATATAAGATAAGTTATTTCATTTGTCATACTTTATCTTATGATTATCATTATTAGATTCTAACTTTACAAACTTACCAAATATTTAAATACAGAAATTTGTGAATATTTAAATACAAAAGGTTTCAAATATTAGAAGATAAATTTTTAGATTTTTTTTAGAAATTTTGGAAATAAATTTAAGACATGCCTCACCATCTACTACACCAACACAAACCCCTATCAATTATTCACTATCAGTTAATACCAATATATTGTCTACTAATAAATACAATAAATTCTTTGATGAAGACTCCTCAGATACTAATTAATTTATTAAAAGCACCCATACTACTTTTTTAAAAATAAAACTCAAGTACAAAGATCTTCCAGACAATGTTTAGAATTATGCCAACCTTTACAACTGGCTCAACCTAACCACCAGCCTTCTTCTTTTTAACCAACATCCCTAATAGAAATTGTGATTGTTTTTTATCACTATAGTGCAATAATAATCATAGTAGATCATGTAATAGATCACTAAATCAAAATTAAATACAAAGTTAAGAGTAATTTCTATAAATAATTTTTTTTTTACTTCAAATGCAATACTTTATACTTTTTTTCTTTGAAAGTTTTTTTTTCTTACTTTGCAAAAGTTTTTTTTCTTTCTTTGTAAGTGTTTTTTTAAAAAACTTTTTTTTTAAAGAATGTTCATGTAGTAGCCACTATACAATTGATGAACAGCTTTTTGCCTAAAATTGAACACTATATATTTTAATTCAAGAATTTTGTAACAATGTAAAAGATGTCAAAGCCAAATTATAATGGCAAAAGAAAGAACACAACAGTGATCTTTCATCTCAAATATTGGATGTAAGTAGATTAGTCAATTAACAATTTATAAAAGTATTTCTAAACTGATGTCTTTAAATTTAAAACATTTATACAAATATTGTAAAGCATTTCTTCCTGCATCACATATACCTCTATTAGACTATACTCAAAGAAGCCTTGAAGGCTGACTTAGATAAAATATATCTGGAGTATATGTTTAAAATAAGTACAAGTGAATATATAAACTGCTTTTATAGTAAATAATATAATGCTACATGTAACATATTTTGAATATTATCTTTGTTTGCTAACCATTAGTTTATTTTTTATTTATTTTTAATTTATTTATTTTCTTTCATTTATTATTACTTGTAATCATTTATTTTTTAATGCGATTAATTAATTTTTTATGTTTTATTTCATTTTTAGTTACTACAAAAAATAAAAAACCATTGTGATGTAGCACTACAAAGTATTAAAAATTCTATTTGCAAGGTCTTCAGGTTCAAACACTTTCCTAATTAAAGTGCAATGCTGCTACAGCAGAAATTTTAGAGTAAAAAAAAGCAAACATATTACTAATTGTTTTCACTCCCTATTTGAACAAATAGATATGACATTTTTAGATATTCATTATAGCTAAAATAGTCTTCTCTACAACTACAATATCTATATTATCAAATAAATACTGTGCTTTTACTCTAGCTATATACA